TCCCCAAGCCCCCAGCAGGGTCCCGCCGCCCGCCTGGACCCCCGCGGTCCCCCCCGCGTGGGGCCGAAAGCGGGTACGGGCACCGAGGCACCTAACAAAGGAGCACGGCGCTGATGTGGGGAGAGGGCAGCCCGGCCCTGCAGCACCGGGGCCATCTGTCACATCCCCGGGGCGGTGCTGAGCTCGGGAGCGGTGCTGCAGCCTCAGGGATTCCTGAGGTTGGGGTGGGAGAAGCTCCGGCATCAGCCGGTTCCAGCATCCCCGCGCTGATCACAGAACCGCGGAACGGTTGGAGTGGGAAGGGACTGAAAGATCACCCAGTTCCCACCCCCCTGCATGGGCAGGGACACCTCCCACCAGCCCAGGTTGCTCCAAGCCCCATCCAACCTGCCCTTCAACACTGCCAGGGATGGGGCAGCCACAGCTTCCCTGGGCAACCTGGGCCAGGCTCTCACCACCCTCACAGCAAAGAATTTCTTCCCAGTATCTCACCTAAATCTCTTCTCTTTCAGTTTAAAGCCATTATCCCTTGCCTTGTCACTCCCTGCCCTTGTCTTGTCACTCCCTGCCCTTGTCCCAAGTCCCTCCCCAGCTTCCTGAAGCCCCTTCAGGCACTGGAAGGTGCTCTAAGTTCTCCCTGGAGCCTTCTCTTCTCCAGGCTGAACACCCCAACTCTCTCAGCCTGGCTCCAGGCTCCTCAGATCATCTCTGTGGCCTCCTCTGGACTCACTCCAACAGCTCCATGTCCTTCTTGTGCTGGGGGCTCCAGAACTGGACCCAGCACTGCAGGGTGGTCTGACGAGAGAAGAGCAATCCTGCTCTTTAAGGGGCTTGGGCTGGTTTAGCTCTTACTCCCTCCACACCAGCCAAATATCTGGGACAGGGACACATTCCTCAGCCACCCAGGACAGAGTCACCCTTGCTGCGGTGTGTGTAACACCCTGGGATGGGCAGGCAGAGGCTGAGGGAGGTGCAGGCAGCTGCCCTTACCTGGCAGCCCAGGTGATGGGGATGCGGTGGGTGGCATAGACGGTGAAGGAGAGAGGGCAGGAGAGCAGCCGAGCCTCCTGCACCACCCCCTGCTCCCGGCTCCCCTGCACGGCCGGCTGGAAGTCGGCGTTGAAGGTGCTGCAGTAGAGCTCGACCAGGTTGAGGATGGCAGCTGTCAGGCTCTCCACGATCCTCTCTGGAGGGGAGGTGGGAGAGGAATGAAAGGGGGGCAGCAGCTGCCAGCCCCACATCCCCCCGTGGTGTCTCTCTGGGCTGGGGATGCTGGAGGGACCCTGGGCAGGTCTCTCCCCTCCCGGGACAATGTGGATGAGAGGGAGAATTTCAGGCTCCCCATTTTGCTGAGTTCACGGGGTGGAACAACAGCCATTGCCTCCAGAAACCCTCTTTTCTTAACCAGAACAGTTTCCAACACATTTTTTGGCCTTAATAATTAAGGGGGAGGGGTTTGAGGATTAAAAGCACCAAGAACTTGAGCCCAGAAGGGGAGGAGAAATACCTCGATTTTCCTTCTTGGCCAGAACATTTGGATCCTGTTGAGGAAAAAAAGAAGAAAAAAAAAAAAGAAAAAGAAAAAAGAAGAAACCACAAGAGCAGCATCAGAATCAGCCCCGTGTTGCTGGCAGGGAGCAGCTCACCAGGCTGGCTGCTTTACACAACCAGCCTGGGCTCCCCAGCTCCCAGCTATTCAGGAATTTTCCACGTGGTGCAGTGGGAGGAAGGAGGGAATGAAGTCAGATATGAAAACGTGCTTCCCCTCTGCACCCTGAGCACCCAAGTCCTGCATCCCTCCCCCAGAGACCCACCCCCCTGTCACCCATCACTTACCTTCTGGATTTTGGGCTGCATGCGGGAGGGGCAGGGGGGCATCTGGTTGAGGGCTGCTGTGATCTCCTGGGACTCCACAGCAGCCAGGGCATTGCAAATGGCCATGACTGACTGGATCACCCGCTCAGCCTTCAGTGGGACATCTCCCTGGAGGGCAGAGGGGAGCTGACATGGGACCCCCGAGGTAGCTAAGGGAGCAGGGGTTGCCCCCCAAGTCCCACACACGCACAGGGAGGTGCACCAGCCCGTGCCTCAGTTTCCCCTACTTTCACATCCTCAGAGCCCCATCATGAAAAGGTGAAAAACTCCATAACAGATGAGGCAAAGTATCCCCCAAAATTCCTCTCAATCCCTGGGGCTCACCTCAGCAGCCAGGAAAGCATCCACCTCATTGTGGAAGGTGTCGAAGAGGAGACTCAGGGCCTGCCTGGGGGACAGAGAACAGAGCTCAGCCCCTTCCAGGCAGGTACCCGGCATGGAGGACTGGATGTCCATGTCTCCCCTACCTGCTGATGGTCTGCTTGATGGGTCTCTCCTGCAGGTGGATGTAGTGGTTGAGGGTTGAGGGGCTCTGATCATCGTTGGCCTGGAGACGGAGAGATGCTGTGCAGTAGCTCGGGCACAGGCAGGTGCTCCCTCAGCAGGGAGGTGACACGGGCACCCCCACACTGCCCCCCACGCCCGGGCACCCACCGTGCGGGCCAGGTCGCTGCGCACCCCCTTCCTCTCCATCAGCTGCAGGCGGGTGTTGGTGGCAAAACTCCTTCCAC